ATAATGTCTAACCCATGTTTGTAACTCCATATTTTCATTACGTTTTGTTGCACCAATAATTCCGTTCATAGCATGTACCACTTGACTAATGAATACTACACCATGGGTTAGAACAAATTATTTTGGGCTAAACTTATGTTTCAATGAAGATATTGTGTAATCACAGATTATTCATATAAGAAACTTTTCTCTTGATACATGTTGTGTATGATTATTACACACGAACTATATATGTTGGCAATAGAGCAGTGTGATGCAAATGCTATTTTTATGAATTGCAAGTTGAAGAAATTACTTAGCTCAAATTTTAAATAAAGAGCTAAAACATTAGTAACTCTCATGGAAAAATTGGAAATGTGGGGGTATAATTAAAATGATATCTCTTGGATTTGCAATTTAAATTTTCTTAATGAGATGGTTTTGTTATATTATCTATTTGTAATGAGGATTGCCATGACCTGTTGAGATCTTTATTGATTGTGGTCGCACTTACAATCTTCTCAGACAAATACATTTTAATGTGATGTTTGTCTTTGATATTTGGAAGACAGGTCAGATCAATATTAAATAGAGAAATTAAGGCATGCACGTCCGAGCGAGACATTCATCCGTGAAGAATGATCATTCCATATTAAAATTATAAATCTCAGTCAAACAAAATTGACAAGTAATTATAGAGCTTTCGAGGAAAGCAATGAGACATGAATATATAAAAGATGATCTATTTCATCAACGAGTTTTCGAGGAAAGCTAACCTTTTGACAAAAGCTATGTCTCAAGAACTGTTGAGGGGGATGAGTCTAAGCCCACAATAGAGTCACCTAGGGAGGTAACCCAACTTCTGTGATTGAGGACCCCATGAAGGAAGTTAAATGGGTAAAAACAATCCATACTGCGTAACTCATTAGCACCGTTGTTGAGAAAATATCCTAAGAGGAGATATTTTCATGCTCATCCCTTTGGCAGAGGTGCATATGTAGTGTGACGGTAAGGAAGGATTTTATCCTGAATGAGACCGAGGCAGGAACACTCATGCAGGGTATTATGCACATGTACCCTTGGAGGACTCACCTAAGTGAGAGTAGTTGTGAGACCGCGACTATGAGAATTGAGCTATTTTCTAGAAACTCTCATGAGAATTAAGATCAAGTATATGACCATTAAACGCATTGACCTGCAAATCCTGACAAATATCGGTACTGTGTGTGTGATAGTTGAACTCTGGCTCAAAGGGTCTAGTTCAAGCCTTTGATCACCATGATCCTTCAGGGGGAGACTGTTAACACTAAGAAAGGTTCAAGTACGAAAGACACCTACAACTATTGCATAGTATAATAGTTGTCCATATTTTATGTCTATTACTTTTATATAAATATATTTGGGTCATTTTGAAGTTTTCAAAACTTATGGAGAATTGTTAGAATAAATTAAAATAAAAGTTTTAAAAACTACATAACTAATTATTTTGTATTAATTTTTCAGTTTTTAACTTTACTATTGAAATTTAATTCTTGCATATTCATGTCATTTAATTATAAAATTGATATAGGTTTAATAGCCTAAAAGTTACATACTAATATATTTTAAAGCCTATTATTCAAGAGTCATTAAGATCGTGCCTATAAAACAAGGTGAATGTTTTGGATAGAAGATGGATAATTTTACCATCTTTTCTATATGCTCATCTTCCACCAATTGTTGTTATTCTTTCTAGATATTTCTTTTTGCCTATTATTACATTTGCATACCTACAAATATTTGGTATTAGTTTACTTTGGGCAACTTCGATTCGAGTCAGATTCACCCTTCCTTCCTTCCAGTGGGTGTGACCATTAAGGAGGTGTTGCTGCGAGCGTCTGGTTTGATTTTGGAGTCGCTGGTGTCTGTCAGTACCCTCACGCGAGGAGGTTCAACTACTTTAAGACAGTATTCACATGACTCTTGGACTCGCAAGCTAGCTCTTTCTAATTTACAGTATCTATTTTATTCTATTCTAAATTGATTGTTATTTTATATTTATTTGCATAATCTTGTTAGTTTGTGATTTGAATATTATTTTGTTAATTAAAATTATATATAATTATGTTAATTTCCCCAACATTTTATAGGTTATATTACTCACAAAAGCGTCAGCCATTGCCAATTAGTTTCTGACAAATTCTATCTCCTTCCTTATTCTCATCCTTGTCATAGGTGTTTACCAAACCCTACATTAGTCATGATCTCCTTAAAAAAATACCCTTAAAAGAAAGTCATCCAAGCCAATAAGTAGAACATTAGGACAAACCCTGCCATTTTTTCTTCTTCTACATCCATGCCTCAAAAGTTCCTGCATTAAAGCATTGATACATAACATTGTACGATTGGCTTGTATAATGTATAGAGGGTCACAAAAACATGCCAACAGAAACATAATACAAAAGAAAAACAGGAAACAAACAAATTATTGAATCAGTACATGTTAAAACGATGTCAATGGTTTTCACTATTTACACACACACGTTTATAATGCGTGGGTTGGGTGGGGGGGGGGAGGGGTTGGAGAAGTTTATTGAATGAACCACAGGTCCACAAAGTGTTTTTTAGTGAGACAACTCATGAGTTCCTTGCTTTATTTAGCATCTATATGTAAAAGAAGAATAGAAGATACAATATGAAAGGCCTAAACAACTTCAAATTTCAATTTGTAGTTGATATTCAATGTAAATACAAGCATTAATGTACAAAATATCTCGACTTTAGAACAATTGTCTCTCTGTCTCTTAGTATAGTGTGCTTTTAGGTATTCGAACATTTTGCATGGAGATAAAGGGTGCTCTGTTTAGCGGTACAAATTGAGCACTAATTTGACATTGTACAAAACTATGAGGGTAATTATGGAAAAAAATATTTTTCAGCCTTGTAGGAGTAGTATAGGTATAGATATAGTAAATTTTATGTCTTTTCATGGTTGAGTTATCTACCATGAAGAAAAAGTATATGAGAATAGATTTTATTTTGACAAAAAACTATGGTAACAAGGTACATAAAATCATTAGTGTTGAATGGATCGATCTTGTTATGTCATCACGGAAAACTCCATTTTTTGGGTTTCATTTGTTACTGCATAAGAATTTAAAAACAACAATACTACTTGTACCTAATTTAACAACTTAATATGAAGAACTATTAAATTAAAACTATTAAGTTGGTAATAGATTTCATCTACTAGTAGGAAATTAGGTCCTCAAAGTATAGTTTTCATAAAAAAAATTAAATGAGAAGACCTCTCTCATGTATACTTCAACGACTTTTTATTTTATTTTATTTTATTTTATGGGGAAGGAGACTTGAATTATTGACCTCAAGAAGGCAACACCTTTCACAAGATAAGGAGTATCATCAAATCAAAGGTCCGTGGTATAAATATTCCTAAAAGTCTATAAGTAAGTCCTAAATCACCCGGAACAATAGATTCAGATTTCCTCAAATATTATTTTCTTTCAATTTTTTCATTGGTAGATTACTTATCGTGAATTCAAATGAGATATATTGTATATAATTATCCTTTTATTAATTTATAACGAGTGATCTATCAAGACTGAAAAATTGATAAAAATATAATATGTATATTGCTCCAAAGATAACTTCCATTTCTTTGAAAATTGTCTTTCCTCCAGGTCAATTTGATTAAAGAAAAAAGAATGATTGAGAATAAAAGTGGCCAAAGAAACAAATGAAAGAAAAATGAGCATTGACAAAGGAGCACAATTCCACCCCAGAAACTTTTGATGCATTAGTCAATCAATACTTTTTTTTCCCTTACAGTCCTGCCAAAGTTGTGTCAGTGTGTATTTCTCAGTTGTTTTTGACCTAAATCTTGGCACTATCCATTCTAAACAACCAAAGAACATAATTTTATTTATTTATTTATTTGACAGAATTGATACATGAGAGGAGAATTTAAACCAGTGATCTCGACATGAAAAATGAGGTGTTTAACCGTTGAAATAGGACCGCAATCCTAAACATTAAGGGCTTGTTTGGTTGCCATATTAAAATTGGATAAATTAGATAAAATAATACATTCTAATACAATGTAGATGGATTAAAGACAAGATTAAATATGATATTAGAATAATATGTAATTTTATCTAATATTTAGCAATACATAATATAAGCGTTAGATAATAGTTATTTAATCCAATCGGTTGTTTGATTATAAAATTATTTTATCGTATTAATGTTGAATTAACAAAAATACCTTTAATCAATTTTTGTTACATTGACTATCGTATAAAAAATATACGATAAGTATACGTTTTTAAAATTAATACGGTATCAAATTTGCTTATCAAACAAAGTATTAGGTCCGATTAAATAAAAAATAGTACAATTCAATATTTAATCCCCTCGTTATACGTCTACCAAACGAACCCTAAGAACTTAGATCAGTATTGATGTATTATTTGCTCAATAACCATACCAAATAGATTGTTTTAAGGACTCATTTTACACTTTAATATGTCATGATTTTTTTTTTTGTTGGTTTCTATTTTTCGTCCTCCATTTTTTTTCACCAATAACGCCATTCGGACCTAACTTTCTTTTTTACCATATTTCTCTTACCAACTTCTATGACCCACGAGATTCGTGGGTCTCACTCGAATGCCCCTAACATTCAACGGTGGTGGTTAGGCCATGTCAATAGTAAAGAAAATTAGGTAAGAAAAAATTATCTTGTGAAGTAGGGCGACTTTCCAAAATTTGAAGTAGTTAAAAAGTTGCTTACTTCTTTGAACAAGTTTGAAACTTGTGGTACAAATGTTAGACTTCGTTGTAAATTCAAAGAGTAATGCTGTTGGAAGTTAAAAAATTAATTTAATTAGCTGAATTAATGTGTGGCAGGTCCAATAGTATTGCCGTGATTGTAACTTTTGGACTTCTTCGTTAGGAATTTATCACTTAAACACCGTTTTGTCAGCAAATGGACGAAGCAATAACTATTCCGTGTGCTGGATTGTCAATAGACCGTATGCAAGTAGCCTCAATGAAACTGCCAAAATGCAAGATGTTATTAAAATCTAGACTGATTTTACAGAGGCAAATCAATAGTACAAGAGCTACCTAGAAGAGGATTACAGAAGCACCAAATTTGTATGTTAACTAATGAATTTACAAGATAATTCGTACTGTCATTGAAATTGTGAACCGGAATGCTCGGGTTTCTTGGGCAAGCCGTGAGTTGCGTCGATGTATAAAGTTGGGTAGCACTCACTTCTTCCACTGAGGCAACCTCTGAACAACTACCTGCCAACATATAGATACCAGAATAGAGATCCATCAGAATGGTCACATATGCAGAATTCACAATTGTCGGTTTTATAATGAAATTGTTAAACCAACACAATTCGATAGATATGCAAAGTATGAGGCAACTAAGGTATCCTTATTCGCTTTATTCCTCGTTAAAGTTGCATCCAGCAATATAAATGAAGATTTTTTTCAGCATTCCAAAGGAGATTAGAATTTTAACAATCAAACAAAAAACAAAAGAAATGCGTGGCACAGTTTAAGCATCCATGTTCATATGCTACTAGCATGTCTCTACCGAAAAATTAAAGGAAGTAACCACTATAATGAGAATATGGTTCCACAGAGCTTAGCCTAGACGACTCACTTTGCCAAAGCCACAACAAAAATAATGTTTGACAGCTTGAAGAGTCAAATAATTTGATCAAAGAATTCAACAGTTACATACCTTGCCAGAGTTCTCTTTATTTCCAACAATAGTTTGGCAAGCCAGCCTCCAAGACTCTGGATTCTGAACATTCAAAAGAAGTTCATCTAATCAACCAATGTCCAATAGAGTTAACCTTGTACAAATGACAAAAGAGTGCAAAAAGAAAAAAAAGCATACAATGTACACATTGAGCTGTTATGTGCACATTTTCTGAAAATCCAGAAAATAAAAGTAAAATAGAATATGAGATAAAGAACCCACTTCGAGGGGGGAGAACCTCTGATGATTCAATTCAATTCGAGAAGAACTTACATCCAAAACTTCACAAGAAAGTTCAATACAATATTCAACAAATCTATTTCATTGATAGGAAGACCTTTAAATACAAGATAATAAAAACTATCTAAATAACTAACCTAACCCATGATTCCACTATCTCAAAAACCACCTAGAAAACTATCCACAAAATAACTTCCTAACAATTACTTCTAATATTGCATAAAAATATATTAAAAATGTGTACATAATATGAGCACTCAAACGTGCCAGAGATGCTATGGAGATGCTATGGAGCACTACACCTTATATTTACTGCATGTGCTGTGGAGCACTACACCAGATACTAACCGATCTTATAACTCTTCCATAGTTTGAGAGCATAATCCATTTTAAAATTCTGATAGTTGTATGGGATACCGTCTCTGTGTAAGGCAAGGTGTTTAAGTAGAAACTAAAAAGATTCACAATCATTCCTTGTAAACATGCCTTTTTTAGATATCGGAGCTCTGTTTTTGTTCTTTCATTCAAAAGATCCTTTCCATCTATAATCTGCATCAGAAGAAAAAGGAAATGCCAACAAGTTAGAATTACACAACATGAAAAATTGGATGTCTACGATGATCTAACATCTTTGTGATTTTCTCGGCAACAAAAATTTCATGTGATGGGTCAGGTCATTAAAGCAATACCAGTTTGCAAAACTTTCAATCTTAAAACACTTAACCATTGTGAAAGCTTCATATAAACCCTGAATCACCTAACTCAAGGTAGCCAAACAATTAGAGGAAGAAGCAACCACATTGCAAGAAAACACAAAAGGTTAGCATTTAGGGGGTGTAGTAAAGGCTGAGCTTGAGCCAACCTATTGTGTTTTACACAGGGTGTGAATGGTGTCCCTATGCTCTTACCAAAATGTGAAATACTGATTACCTTTTTCCTATGTAATGCACCTCTAACATTCTAATTGACTAGTACATATTGCCATATTTCATAGCATAACACTATGTTTTCACATGCCATATTTCAACATCAGCCTAATTTATGGTAGCCCTTTGCCTTTCTTCATCATTATGATTTTGCCCCATCTTCGTAGTTGAATGCAATGAGCATGAGTACATACGCGTTGAAAGATCAAAATGGTGTGATTGCCCATCTAGGGGAAAAATTACAGTTTGCACTGTTGATACCTATGGTTCTAGAAATCTATTCGTCTAACAAGGAATTTGAATAGCTGATAGCCCTTTTCTTTTCGATCAAGAAGTTTTAACTACTTAACTACAAGATTAATATTTATAACCTTTGGGTTCGTCGTACTAGGCACAATGACACAGCTATTAAACTACAGAACAATCTATGTAGTAAAAAGTTATGACCTAATGGTATCAATATGTTGTCGCAAAGGCCACGAACTTGGGATTAATCCTAAAAAAATTTGGATTGATCGTAGTTATTTGGATAGATCCTAAATCAACTCCATTGAGTTGTAACTTGGTTAGTTTGAGTTCTAACTTGATCCAAACTGAGCCATAACCTTCAATATCGCGGTCCTTAACATAAAATTTTAAAAAAGACATAGGCTATAAAAATTTAAAACAATCCATACCTCCACAATGCAAGTTCCACAGGTTCCACTACCACCACAGTTCATCACCTTCCCCTATTGAAAAAAGTCAATTCCATCGTTCAGGTCCATTAAACTAGGTGCATAAATGAATTAAAAGGAAAATAATGTGATACACAATATTTCCACAATGTCTCTACATCCAAGAGGGGAACATTATGAATCATGATAAAAATTGCAGCACATTTTTTGGAGTTAAATGGGCAGTATTGGACAATTAAGTTAATTTTTTAGATCTAATAACATTACTCAGCTGAAGGCACGGTACAAAATATGAATGGTTTTAAAATGAATATTGGCACTTGTTGGATGAGTTTATTTGAGACTGTCGTATAGGTTTATTGAAGTCTGTCATATTTTATATTATAAATTTATAAGAATCGACTAAAAATAACCCTAAAAAAATATAAATAACTCCATAAAAGTTGTAACATGAACTCAAAAGTTATAATTTTTTTTTTTTTTGAAAACAAACCAAAATACTTTTATTTTAACCTATAAAATTTGTAAAATTTTATTGTAGGATACCATTGACGGTAGCATAGTCTTCTCCTATGGCTATACATGCCAAACCTGTACGACATCGTTTTGACGTCAATAAACAAAATCATGTTAACGGTTAACGCTTTCTTACGGCAATGCTGATGCAAGGCCATACATGCAAAACCCGTACGACATCGTTGTTGTTACCTCTGAATCTATCAACTGGACTGAAACGTCGCCGTTCCCATCAGCATGCGTAGAGTAGAAAAAGGAAGTTTGCGAAAGACTAAAATGAGGCTGGGAGGGTAACTTAAACTTACATACGCGGCATAGAGCTCGATATTGTTATCCGACATGATGCTCCGAAGAAGCTTCTGTCCGCTTACTGCCGTGGCTATCTCCACCGGGTACTTCCCATCTGCTCCAGGTTTTGGCTACCATGAACCCAGCAACGAAACGTGTAAAATAACCACACAACAACACACACTCACGCACAGAGAGAGAAAAAAAAAAGTGTTTACAAAGTAAAACAAATGGGTACCCCTATAAATTCGAGCTCAATTTGGGGCTTTTCGGGTGCCGCCGGAGCAGATTCCGTTGAACTAGTTGCAAAAGAGGCGGCGATGGATCTCTTTGTGGTAAGAACTGTAATAGGTCTATGGTAGTTTATGTTGACAGTGGCGGGTTCCGGTGGCCGGAGGTATATGGAGGCAAAGCTCATGGCTGCCATTTTTCTCTCCCTGTATCACTTTTTTCTTGGGTTTGGTATGCGTGGCTCCATTTGTGCTTGAGGATTTTTTTTTTTTTTTGTTTCTTATTTTTCAGTTTCTGTTTTTTGATGTCTTTATGTGTGGCTTAGGAAAGAACACTCTTTTCTCCCTCTTTATCACTAAAAAAACATTTGGAATAACCGTTAGACGAGGTGGTAATATAACCGTTTATAGACAAAGGAATAAAGGAGTGTCATTAAAATTTAGTGTACATAAATAATAATAATCTATATTTATATCTATACTATTTTAAAATAAAATGACTTTTATTTTGCATCTTTACCCTTCAAGAATGCAAATATTACATATATACTGCCCTATTTTATTGCCCGTGGAGATAATACATTCAGGTGCATCTACTCTAACATTTATAATATATATAGCAATTACTCTCACATTAACAACTTACAAGCGATACCTATTCTATTCTGTGTCGTTACTCATCTATCAGAATTCGAACCATTTCATCTTCGATTGCGTCTTTCACTGCTTGGCCGTTTCATATATAGTTTTCTTCTTGTACGATAGGGCAAGAGCTGGTGGAGATGAACTCTCCAGATCAGCTTCATTACTGCTTCCAAGAATATCCTACACAGTAACTCATGATCACCATTCCTAAACCATAGAGACAGAGAGTGAAAGAGAGGAGGAAGCTCCAGCTTTGGTGCACAAACTGCTCAGCTCTACTTTCAGGAACCATGTTTTAAATTTTCGTATCGTAATTAGGTCTTGTTCATCTTTAGCAAAGTAATGCTGAGTTATGTTAAACATGCTCTTGATATAGGACACCTTGTACCTTGTTCACGAAAAAAATATGAGACTAAATTTCTCAACCATTTTAATAGATATGATTTATTTATTTGTTTATCCTGGGGATCTAATTGAAATCTGATATGATCTCTTATGATTTATTTGTTTATCCTAATTTGGTGCTACAGCCAGGAGATCTACTTGAAATCTGATATGATCTATGTGTGAATGATCTTTATTTGCTTGAAGAAACGGAAGGTTGCACGTGTAATAGAGTCAATTGATTGATTCAA